CAGAGAGAGAGAGAGAGAGAGAGAGAGAGAGAGAGAGAGAGAGAGAGAGAGAGAGAGAGAGAGAGAGAGAGAAAAAGAGAGAGAGAGATTTGAGTTGTATTCTGAAGAGAAAAGGACAGAGAGAGAGAGAGAGAGAGGTGGAGATAGATGGAGAGTGACAAAGAGAGAGAGAGAGACAGACAGACAGACAGAGAGAGGGAGGGAGGGAGGGAGAGAGAGACAGAGACAGAGAGACAAAAAATTCATATTCATTTATATGTTTTGTTATTAATTTACGTAAGGTTGGATTTTTTTCTCAAGAGCGCACATAGCACACTACAGAGCAAAGAAGCATTTTGAATTAAGTCAGTTGTTCTAAACAGTCACCCTAACTCACCTTCGCCTATCCCAACTCACCTTCACTCCCCTCAACTCACCTTTACACACTCCAATGCACACCCCAACTCACCTCCACACTCCCCACTCCCCACCACATACCTTGAGTCACCTTCAGGCACATCGTAACTCACTTTCACACACCACAACATGCACCCTAATAAACACCCTAACACACACCCCAAAACACATTCCAACACAAACCCCTACTCACGTTCATACACCCCAACACACACCCCAACTCACTTCACACACCCCAAAACACTCCCAATTCACCTTCACCCACCTCAATTCACCTTCACACAACCCACCAACTCATCTTCACCCACCCCAACTCACCTTCACACAACCCAACAACTCACCTTCGCCACATTAGCAAACTGTTCGACGATCTGTCTCTGCTTGAGATTGCTCTCCCCGTCCAGGTTGCTGGTCTCAATGTGACAGATGCCTTGTGGGTCGCTTGACCGGAGAAACAAGATGTCTGCAGGGATGATCTCATTGCAACTCAAATGCACAAAGTCTCCAGCAAAAATGTGCGCCCACTCCCTCTTTACATAACGCTTCTCTTTCCTGTAAAGAAAAAAAAAGCATGAATATGAGGGTACTAGCTGGGTACACGTTTGATGAACAGACTTAAAAGAAAAGTCAATCATCAAGTCATTGTGGAAACAGTACGCACAGCTTGTGAACGGAAGCCTCGCTTGTTCACAATGGCATCTAAAAAGACGGATTTTCCCAAGATTAGATCAATTCGAAACTAATGAAAATATGAAAATTAAACTACAGTGACTTCAGACTCCTCAATAGAACTGTGCACCTTTTAAATGATTCTGAAGAACTGTTATTTTTTTCAAATTCGAAAGTTAAGCGGTTCAGAAGTTTTAGGCGGCCAAAGTGACCAACTTTCACAAATATAATTTAATATAATTTTTTTTTAAAGAGATTTCATTTTTGAGAAGGAACCTAAGAAGCCCCTAGAAGCCCTGCACACTGTCATATTTCTTGTTTTGTGTGTTTGCCCCCGCTTCTGAGGTGTACTCGACAGGCACTCCGTCATCACAAAACCACTAATGTTTATTTCTCAAGTACCCTTTTCCTGCAGATATCTGTCAAACTATCTTACATGTGGTTTAAAACATGCACTCGATACGACATTCGTACACTGCATTACTTGCTATCTTTATTTTTCTCTTCATATTAAAACTCTTTTCTGAAAGTAATACACAATTTCACTGTTACGTATATTTACATGTGTTTTTCCCATTCCTGCAGAGCCACAGAAAATTTCCCATTGCGGCAATAAAGTACTATCTTATCTTATCTTATTAAGAAAATAAGCGATCTTCAACGTTTTTCCTCTTTTTTCTTTTCTTTTCTTTTCCTTTTTTTTTTCAAAATGCCACGATTGCCATGACCGTAAACACTACTCCGACCATGCCCGTAGAAATCAGCCCAAGCAGCGTAGGTTATAACATCCCAGAACAAAGACGGATACTCCGCAAAACAGGCTGCCCACTCAGGAATCAAACTGGGGGGGGGGGGGTTATTGTTTTGATTTTGATTTTTTTAAATGTGCAACGGGTAAAGCTTGAACCATTACACATGGGAGGCCCCAATACGTAAAAGAGTAAAAGTAGCATCGAACAAACTGTCTTCAGATCTGTCTCCCACAACACCCCACCCCACAAACTCTCTGTCCCAACGTATCCCATTAGCTCACAAGAGTAGTAACATACAAAGAAGGGGGGGGAGATGAGGTCGACACATGTGTGACAGGAAAGAAGGAGCAGCCACACTAGAGCAGCCGTCTAACACCCACATAAAGAGGATCCGTTGTTTTTCGTTGGGTTTTTTTGGGGGGTGGGCGGTGGGGGGAGGGGGGAGTTTTAGTAAGCGTTTTACAGCACTTGCAACACAATAAGGTAATGTGCGTAACAAAGAATAGAGGTGTTACAAGAGAGAAATAAGCACAAAAAAGAAGGTGAGATGAGGACGATAGAGGACGATAGATGTTTGAAAGAAAAAAAGGAATCAACCATACCAGAACACACGCCAACCACTCACAAAGAGGATGAAAAGTTGAGATATAAATGATTGAAAAGAAAAAATGAAACACACACACATACACACACAAGCACCCCCCCCCCCCCACACACACACACACACTCACACACACGCGCGCGCGCCGACGAATGCTACTCAAACTTGACCTTAAAATGCCCAGTCTTGTCCAAGTACTTCAACCTACTGTACAACAATAACCACTAAAACCAAAACAAAGCAAACAACAACATAATTGGTAGCTCTATCGAGTTAAGTAATTAAAAAGTCGACCAAATCCGTTAAGGATACAGGCCATGACTTTTACGTAGAAGTGATGGGAGTGTGAGAGGGTCGAAGCGGAGACAACAACCAAATATAAACCATGAGTAGTTAACAAAATGGCTCATCCGTCGATGTTCGGGAAAACCACTTTATAATCGCTCTCTATCACAAAATCAATTCTCTTAATAGTAATGGTCATTCTCATTGTTGCACGACTGTATCCTCTACTAATCAGAGTGGCAATTATTATTGAAAGTGTCCCATTTCGTGTGTCATAGAGCTCGATTAATAAGTGGGTCAAAACACGGATTCTCCCAGAACATCGACGAATGAGCCATTAACTTCTTAACTACTCATCGCTTATTTCTGGTCGTTGTTTCCGCTGCCACCCACGCTGACTCTGGTGCTATCTTCAGAAAACAGAACTTTGGCCTAAAACAACAACTTTGTAACAGCATGGTATTGGGTGTTTTGCGCCACCCTGCTGATCATTTAAAAGACGGACTACTTGTCGGGCCCAACAATGATGGTTCAGGATACATCACACCAAACTGAAAAGGAAAAAAACACTTAGAGAATTGTCTTCCCTCAAAGAAAAAGAACATTATGTTGCGGTCAAGACGAATAGCCTAATTTTTCCACCATCAACGCCCGTAAACGTTGACCTAGATAGACGTATCTAACACAGACGCAGCGCCAGTCCCCACGAGATATGAACTTGACCTTGTTTACAGAAGACATTACTTCAACAACTACACGTATTATAACATAATGTAAAAACATGACTTTTTTGGGGCTTAATCTGTGTCATGTTTACGGCACAATAATTATGTCACAAAAATGTGTGACTTCAGACAATACCACTACACACTGCACGCCGAATGAATTGGG